CCAAAATTTTGTATACCAAAACACGGTAATACTAAAATTCGGTGTTTCAGATGAATCAGATCAAAAGTTTGCACATAAAAGTGTTTGCACATCAAAAGATTTTTGTACAACAGAGGTATGAAATAAAAAAATATGGTATTCTGTATATCACAGCGAACAACCCCCACCGGCCTCGAACCGATAACACTTGTGGATAGGAGTGCAAACGACCCAACCTGAGTTTATGTAGGCGGGAGCTAGAATTATATTATATTGGTTCGAGCTTGAGCTTGGCTTGAACGAGCTTAAAAAATTCGGCTCGCAAATATTGATATGGCTCGATTCGGCTCAGTTCGGCTAGATTATTTTCGTTTGCTCAAAAGTTACAAGTTTGATTAGCTTGTAAGTTCGTGTTCGAACTCGAGCTCAAGTATGAAACAATCTTTAAATATTAGTGTTTAACATTTGCAAATTGCAATTTACATGCCCAACAACTAAACCTTACGGGAAAATAAACAAAATATAATTCTAACTTCAAGTCTCTACCCAATTGTACTTCTAATAAAAATCAAAAGTGGTCAACCCATTAAGAAATAGTGGATGAAACTTTGATTATTTTTGTTAAATTACTTTATAATTAATAATATTTCCCCGGTCCTCATATACATTTATGAATCAGTATTATACACACACATACACACACACACATATATATAGAATAAATATCAAATGAGACGTTAGAACGTGAGAACACCACATTACCCAAACGAGTTGCACAATGAAGCCTGCATATTTCACTTTTTCACATTTTCACAATATTTACCAAAATGCCACCGTGTTTATTTAATATAGGCTTAATTCGAGCAAATCTAAAATGTGCAACAAAATAGCTCAATTGTGCATCACATTGATTTAAATGTGAGAGTTCTCACATTCTCACGTTAAGGATCGTTCCCATTGGAACCGCACCCTATATAAATATATATATATATATATATATATATATATATATATATATATATATATATAGTGGGTAAGGTTCAAGTGAGAAGAACCCTTAGGGTGAGAAATGAGAATGAATCTCAACCATTGGATTCGACTAAGTTGCAGTAAAATACACTTTATGATGCACTGAAATATGCAATCTAGCACGGTGGCATTTCTGTAAATACTTCTGAAAAATCCGTATTACACGTGTCTAGTGCAACATGAAGCTATTTCAGTGCAACGCCGTCAAATATTAGTGCACCATGAAACAGTTTTAGTGCAACATGTGCAAAATTTAAATATTACCGCAACATAAAGTAAATTTTAGTGCAACTTTGTAAATCCAATGGCTGAGATTCATTCTCATTTCTCACATTAGATGCATTTCTCACCTGAACTAAAATCTATATATAGTAATCTTCCGGTCAGGAATTTCCTTACCGGAGCGCCGTCCGGCCTCCTCCTTTTGGGCGCCTTCCCGGTGGTATTTTTTCCTCAAATGTTTCGTGTATGTTCCTTATCAAGTCTAGTTCATCCATACCAAATTTCAGAAAACAATTCAATCGGGAAGATCGTCAAATGATTTTTTCAAGTTAACTGGTCCGGAAAATACATATTCCGGACCAGTTAACTTGCAAAAATCATTTGACGACCTTCCTGATTGAATGTTTTGCTGAAATTTGTTATGGATGAACTAGACGTGATGAGGAACATACACAAAAAATTTGAGAAAAAAATACCACCGAGAAAGCCCCCAAATGGAGGAGGCCGGACGGGGCTCCTGTCCGGAATTTCCGGACAGGAGTAATCTTATATATATATTATATATATATATATATATATATATATATATATATATATATATGTGTATATATATATATATATATATATATATATACACATATATATATATATATACATATATATATATATATATATATATATGTATATATATATATATGTGTATATATATATATATATATATATATATATATATATATACACTCCGTATATATTAATTTATAAAAAAAATAATTTATATTATATATTACATATACTAATATATACTCCGTATTATATACTGCGTATTAATTTGTATTGTATATTATTATATTACATATATTAATTAAATATACACACATATAACTAGGCTTGCGAGCCTAAAATCAGTAGACTCGTTTATGGCTTGACTGCTTAACGAGCCGGCTCGAGCTCAGCTCGAGCTTGAGTTTGACCGATCTCGATCCGAGCTTTAATTTGACCGAGTGGCTCACGAGCGGCTCGGCTCATTTGCACCAAAGATTAGGCCGAATTGAAATCAGTAAATTTTAGATCGAAGACCGGATGGATATCTACCCGATTTAAGTCTGAACCAGATTATGCTCTGGCCTTCTTGTATGCCGTATGGGGGTAAAGCCAATTTCACACCGAGTAACTCAGTAACTTTTAACAGCATGAAACTATGTAGCACTGATACGGGTACGCGGAAACATGGAAACGCGGAAACGTAAAAACGCGAAAACGGGTACGGGGATACAACAAACCAAAAAAAGTAGGATACGGATGCATACATGGCCATATTTATAAATATTAAAAGTTATGGGGATGTATTTATAAATATTAAAAGTTACAAGGTGTATCTATAAATATAAAAAATACAATTTTTTTTTGAAAAAAACAGACATATATTATCCACTGACGTTTAGTCATTCATGACATTGAAGCATTTTACATTTTCAAGATATTTAGAAAATAAGTTCAGATTTTATCTCATGTACACTAGTGCACCTCGAAATATAAATATAGTCAATAAGTCATTAATTTAAAATGAGAAATAAGTCAAACAACTACATTTTCCAAAAAAAAGTGAAACAACTACAACTTTGAAACTAAAAGTGCAAGTACTCAACGTTCTTTAATAATGAAGATAAAAAAATATTTTAAAAATTCTAATTAATACGTATTTCAGTTGGAGCTAATAATTTCCAAGGATAATTAGAATTAGGGATATGAGGATGGGTGAATTAGGAATAGACACATTAGTTGTGTACCACATAAAAGCAAGGTAAAAATCATTTTCTGTTTTTCATTTTTTTAGAATTTTATTATGTAAATTTTGAGTGTTTTATTAAAAAGTTTTTTCGGAAGATTTTTTTATGGGAAAATTAATTAAAATACCCCAAACTTTGAAGGGGTGTGAGGTAAGCAAACCAAACTTGCATATGTAGTTTAAACATCCCAAACTTTATAAAAAAAAGGTATTTAGCACCATGATCATGTATTATTTCTTTCAAAAATGTTAATTTTTTGTTTTAATTTCATAATTTAAAATATTTTAGCATTCATGTAGATAAAAATAACATTCTAAACTTTATTGTAAATTAAATAGTATCACCTACCCCCCCCCCCCCACTCTATGTAATTGCTACGTTTTCAATTTGCTATTTTAAACTATGCAATTAACACTAGAAATTTACATTTTTTAAATAAATAATACTACCTCCGTCCCCCTAAGTTTGGGACAAGACAAGGTGGCACAGTTATTAATAAAAGTGGGTTTATGTGGTTGATATTGAATTGATAAAGTAAGAATAAAGTAAGAATGATTTAGAACCACACAAAATTTACCAAATAAGGTATGAGACAATCTTAGTGGGACGGACCGAAAAGGTAAAATGGGACAATCATAGCGGGACGGAGGGAGTACATGATCATGGTGCTAAAATAACTTTTTATATAAAGTTTGGGGTATTTTAGTTACATATGAAAGTTTGGGGTGTTTATGTCACACTCATTCAAAGTTTGGGTATTTTAATTATTTTTCTCTTTTTTTATATATAAAGTTGATACGGGTATCCGTAGGGTACAAGTATATATCCAAAATTCTAAAATAATGACCAAAAAAGTGGAAACTTTTAAAAATTGCATATACGGTCCGGGAGCGTATGGTAGGTGTATCTTAGAGTATGAGAACAATTTTGCAGCTGCCCGAAAAATGGGAGGCGACTGTGGAGTTTCGCGTCCAAGTTCCACCATTGTTATCCACCTTCTGCAGAAAATAGAGGGGGAAAATCGGTCCAAAAATATTTTTTTGTATGTAGTGTGAGTAGGCTTCTTTTTTTAAAAAAAAATTGAGCTCAATTAGTTGGCTCAAGGTTTAATTTTTAAAATAAATGTAAAGTGACACGCCTTTCTTAATTCACTTGGCATCTCTAAGTTTTATAATCATTTTAATTACAAAGTTATCAAGTTATGTTAGGCCACCAAAAATCCCAATTCGTAAACCCATTGAAATTGATTTGTTGTTTCCAAATTCCAATTCAATATCAACAAGAGTAAAGAACGCTGTAAAGCGGTGAATGTCTCAGCGGTTTGTTAAGAATTGAAGCCAATCAATGAAGTAGCCCAAACGGCGGTCGGTGACAAAAAAAACTTCTTCTTTCAAGGCTTCAAACAATCCAATTGTGATCAATAAATTATTATTGATAAAATTGGCGAATCAGGTTGGGATAAAGAGAGAAAGAAAGAGAAGAAGATTAGAAAAGATAAAGTTAAGTGAGCAGGGATCAATAGAAAATTTTGTTTTTTTTAAGAAATTGAATCTTGAAAATTCTGTGATAAACGTTTTTAAGTAATATTTTTCTTTTTATGTGATACTCGTGTTGTTACTTTTCATCAAATATAAAATTTAAATAATAATAATAAAATGAGTTTCGTTTTTATTTAATGACCTTTATTGGATAATTTTTTATAATTACTATTTTAAATAAATATAGTTTATTATTTGTCTTAAATATAAGCCCAAAATATTATCCCGCCCATAGGCCCGAAAATAGACAGGACCAGCCCTCAACAAAGGTATTATCTTTTCATATTTCGTTTGGTTGTTATAGCCAACTTCCATTATGAACGTTTCTCTCTTTCACATGTCATCTTCTTCATATTTCCTTTTTTTAATCAGCATTTTATTTTTTATTTTGCAAATCGCATTTTGTACAACCTATATATGAAGCGTGAAACTTTTGAAGTAAGCTAGATTCTTTTCCAACTAGTTTCCATTTTCATGCTAATAATAACAGGCAGGATACCATGATATGCTTTACATTTTTGGTGAGTTCTCTTTATGTTTTGGGGTCCTTTTCTCTCACATATCTAGTTAGCAGTTATCAGAGGTTGCTTTTCTTCTTGTACTTGCACTTATTCGTTGAATCGTTGTTCTGTAGGGGGTATTCCTAACGCTGGAGATGGGGAAGACTCTTTCAAAGGAGCTGGGGCAGCTCAAGCTGAAGTACGAGGGCACGGAGGGGATGGCTGCTAGCCTTGGTGCTGGTGTAAAGGCTCAGGCAACAGAGCTGCAGCAGAGGGTTGATAAGGCCGAGGAGGAGAAGAAGGTGCTCGAGGGAAGGCTGAAGGTGGCCGAGCCAAGTTTAACAGCATTGCAAAGGCTGTCTACTGGGGCCAAAAGGAGGCCGAGAAGAAGGCCAAAACTGCTGCTGCTGATGCAGTCTTATCTCTTATAGAAGGCGGCTGGAAAGCTGAGGAACATCAGGAGTGGCTCCACGGCTGCATCTCTGACTGGAGAAAGACGCCGGCGGGGAGCAAGTATATGAACACCAAGGGTGATATCTATTTCTCCCTCGATGAGTACAATATGCAGGCACTCATCTACCCCCGGCTTGCGCGAAAAATTCCCAACTTCCACCCTGTCGATTACGGGCTTCCGGAGGAACCTGGAAGAGGAGCTGCAGAAGCTCGTGGAGGAGTATAGGAAGCAGAAGGTTGTCGACTCTTCGCCAGGGATCTCTGACGTAGATACATAAATCGCTAGGGATGCCACGATCTGCGAACCGAAGTTACCGAACGCTGAGTACCCAATCGCGGTACGAAAGCGTTCCGGTCGCCATCTGGAACGCTAAAAGGTACGGTCGTCCAGTCGATCCCAATCGCTATTCCAAACGATATTAATCGCAGTTCAAAATCGATTCCCAAGGCTTTTCAAACTCGATCGAAAACGAATCTCAGTCATTCCCAAACAGTTTCTCCTGTGAACGCGTTTGTAAAGGTCGTTTCCCCATGTCAATCGTCGTTTGAAATATTTGTACAGGTAGGCGCTTCGTTTCAGACGCTGGTATTAATAGGTGAAATATAAAATTTTACCTTGCCTAGACACAATTTTGCAACAGTCAACATTTCACACTTGCCGAGACACAATTTTGACCATTAATATATATAAATTTAAATTAGTAAAAAAAATAAAAAATATTAGATATTGAAAATTTACAATGAGACAAATTTAACAATATTTTTTTTCATAAAAATATATTCATACATTGATAAATAAAACGTAGTCAAAGTAGAGCATGTGAATAGTATAAAATTCCATATGTTGCATTTATTTAAGAACGGAGGTAGTATCTACGTATTCTAAAATATCTATTCCAAACCAGGTGTTAATGTTTTCTGGAATATCTACGTTTTCTGAAATATTAATATTTTTTATTTTGTTTAATGTTATGACTTATGATTAAGAAATCTGTTTTTATTAATTGTTATGACTTATGAAATCTGTAATTTAATCTTATTAGAGTATTAAAATATAAGATACAGTGTACCGAACATGTGGTACAATGTACCGAACGCGTACCGGAATGAACATACCCCCCTCTGAATCGGATACGCTAGATCTATCGAACCGCGTTCCTGATCCTCGTTCCCGTACCGAAGCGTTCCGCGAACTATGTGACTATGATCTCTGATACTGAGGTCGAAACAGATGATGATGAAGACGGGACCTAGGAGAAGCAAGAGACATCAGCTCTTGGTCTTTCAGGTCTGAGTCCTCCCTCACATGTAATGCTTCATGTATTACATTGCTAATGGGTGAAAGTTAGATGATGTTAGAAAACACAACTCACCCTAAAGAGTAAAGACAGTCTCTAACTCTTGTAGATGGTTATCACATAACTAAGCAGCAAAGAGAGATATCTAAGGTAGCATTGTGAGAGTGCCCGCAAAAACTGTTTCAATTATCTGCGTCTTGTCTCAATGATATCAATCCCAAGGGCAAGCAAGATACTAATGAGAATACCATGTTGGTTTTATCATACTAGGTGTGCGATGATACACCATCTTATAAATAATACTTAAAGTTTTCTTGGTTGATATGTCATTGTAAGTCTAACATATTATAAATTTCAACTGACATTACTCAAGTGACTATGATGTACCTGATCACTTCATAATTTAGCATCAAAGATAATTCCCTAACATCAAATAAGACAATTCCCTATGTAAAAATACATCAGTTCTTATCAAAGTTGATTAAAGTTTCATTTATGGAGTGAAACTAAGTTTCAAAATAATGTAATTTTATCCTACATTTTTTCTTGAAATCGTATGAACTCCAAGTAGTGTGTTTCAAGTTTAGTTATGGCTGTCATAATAGAGATTAGAGAATCAACAATTCCAATTAATAATATTTCATATTTACTTTTTAGATATTTCTAATTTCCCTTTGGATTTTTCTTAATTAAATTGATTCTTTATTATTTAAATAGGGATCAAGAGCAAAAATGACTCTTGAAGAAAAACATTCCAATATCAGACATAAAGAAAACAAATGGTCAAACATAAATATATGAAAATAAATTTTGAGTGCATTATTCATTAGGCATGTCACCTTTTTTTAATCATTCTAATATTTTTTTTTCCAAGTTTCAACTAATGCCATTATACATGGTAAAATAGTAAACGAATCGAGAAGTATAAAATGATAATAAAAAAAAAACTCTAACATGTTTTTAAAGGGAAGTGAAATTAGTGTGTAAGAAAAACTAAAGTTTGGAAAAAAGCAGAGTTGTTTGATCCCAGCAGGGATATGTATGACGCATAGAAGCTAGGGGCTCAACCAGTCAACCGTCCAAGGTGGTCTCGGTCCATTTGGCATTGCAACTTTAGCTTCCAAAAACTTGGAAGATGGGGAAAGTCTCATCGTGTCGTCCGGTCGGTGTTGGGGAACTTGGGGGGCCCTCGGGGTCGATGGGGTGTCATCCTTTTTTTTGGAAGATGGGAAAGTGTTAGTGTGTTAATAGATTGTAAAATTCTCATAATTTAAGACATAATTCTCATTGATGTATTTCCATTTTTATATTTTGTTCTATCTTGCTAGTTATGTTTGTGATTGATGTAAATTAATGTATACAGTCTACGTTTATAATTTGTATGTACATACTTTCACTATTGGACTGTATTATTAATTAATAAGTTTATATATGTGCATAGTGCATACTCGATTTGTCTGTTCAATGTTATTCTATTATGCGAGCAACATCTATTGAGCTTGGGGCATTTCAGCTAACACTGAAAAAAACCATATATATAGTGAAGTTGTCAACCACTCCAAATTACAGTTTTAGAAGTTTGGTACCAAAAAATCTCTTAGCTATTTACAATGTGATAATCAAATCTTTTTCAGTTAAAGCTTTTTATTCCAAAAGTTTACCATTAATGTTAGTCGTTTCTCTATGTAACATCATACTCTATTTCCAAATTTGCACTATCACATGCTCCCTCGTCTCCATCCTCTATGGCTCTATTAAATGTCCCTTATTCATTTTAATTTGGGACTCTTTTAATTATTTGTTCCTCTTTCTTTATTCAGTTATTTTTTCAATCAAAATACATTTTTTAAAATCTCGTTAGACAAACCATCCATTGGTAGAGGAAATGTTGGGAAACATTACTATATTTTATTTGAAAAGAAAAACAAGTACAAAATATAGAAGGGGACTAGAGCAGTACCTCTCTAGAGAAGGCATACTTTTGTACTCGCACTTTTATTAACCTTATCGGTTTCTCTTTCTTACTTTTTTAATTAAACACAAATGATTTCACCTTTTACATTGTCCCTATTATTTTCCTCTTTATGTTATAAATGAAAGATCTAATTTACACCCCCATGGCCCATATATGATTATATCTAAAAACAGAGTATAAAGTTACGGAGCATTTAAGGCTCTGTTTCCAAGTGATTGTGCTTAAATAAAAGCACTTTTTGGAAAAAAGTGATTAGTAGTAAAAGTTGGTAGTGTTTGGTAAAATAAGTGTTTTTTTTTAAAAAAAAAAGCCAAAAGCACTTAAATTAATTGTTTGCAAACAAAGCCTAAATTTAAATAGAAGTTGCAGTGAAAATGGTTGTGAATAGACATTAAACGAGTTTTTCCCTAATTATAATTAAAATGAAATGAAACTCATTTCTAAAAAAAGTGACTAGTTGTATTATGGTCAAAAATAAAGACGGCAAAGACTAGCTTAAGTAAACAATTCTAAACCATTAATCATTCAGATTATTATAAACTTCTTTGCATCTTCGGTGGCGAAATCAAAATTACCTAATTATTTCTTTTTATCCCTGGCTTATTTATCTTAATAACCAATTAAGATAATAAAAGTTGAGAAAATGAAACACATCTGAATTGTGAGTTTCTGACCCATTTATCTTATTTCTTTTTAGGGAAAAAGCGCAAAAAAACCCTGAACTTGTCAGCAATGGGCATCTATGCCCTTAAGCATTTTTTTTGTGCAAAAACCTTTATAATCCCTAAAAGAGGGCAATTCCATCCTTTGTTTAACGGTGAACCAGTAACATGCATATGCCGTTAAAAAAAAGCATATGTCGTTAATATTTGGATGAATAAGACTTCTTTTAATATTTTTTATAAATTAATTAAAAGTGGGGGAAATCTGCAAAAAGTTGAGATTCCTAGGGTGATACCCTGAAATCCTGAATTGAGTAGCGTGGGTTTGCTTTCAGAAACAAAAATCCGGACAATTGCTGGCATATCTCTGCAATTCATACTGAAGCCGTGTTCCTCCACTCTCTGACTCTATTGTATCCCTCCCTAATAAAACTTCCAAATAGGTTTGACACACAATTTAAGATAGTGGATATTGCGTGGTATAGAGTTGTGCAGAGGAGAGAGAAATGTGTAAGAATGGCTGTGAACTACAAATTCTGACCAAAAAGGGAAAGTGGAAGTTTTAATTGGGACGGACAAAAAAAGAAAGTTGGAAGTTTATTTAGGGACGGAGGGAGTAGTTGTATATAGGGTTGGATGGGGATTAGGGTTGTAAACGAATCAAATAATTTGTGCTCGATTCGTGATTCGAATGCGTATAAGATAATTCGAATTCGGAAAATTCAAATACAAATACAAATATGAATATTAAATTTGATTCAAGTTATTATCAAATACAAATAAGAATATCAGTTTATTCGATTCGAATATTAATCAAATATATTCGGCTAATAATAGTGATAATATTAATAATAATATTAATAATTCGCTTCAAAAAAAATATTAATAATAATAGTAATAACACTATAATAACTTTTAAAAGATAGCAATACCCTCAAAGTGTAGTCCATGTATACATTTATGCATCCAGATTCTAAGTCCATTTGTAATAAATCAGAGAATAAATACGAATACAAATCAGATTTTTGGTTCAAAAGTCTTTCAAATACAATACAGATAATTATGTATTCGATTCGAAGAATAAAATTAGTGTCGTTTGACTTTGATATATACAACTATCAACTTATTTCACACATTATAGGTATCATTTTTAATATGTGTGTTAGTATTTATTTAAAAAAGTTTGAAATAGATTTATATTTATTAATCATAAAATTGATTCATTTTAATATATCGTGCACAATCTAAAAATGCATTGATCCATTGAATTTAAATTCTAAAAACACACATCAAGTCATAGCATACATTTACAACAATAAAAAAATAATAAAAGTTATTTTAAAGTGATATTTGACTAATATTTAGCCTATGCTCAGATTTATTCGATATTCGTATAAGATTCGTTAACCATTCGTATTGTTAAACAAATACAAATCAAAATTAATATTCGTTTCATATTTGAATTCGAATTCGTATTCGAAAAAATTAAACAAATACAAATACAAAATCTCACTATTCAACTCGATTTGGTTCGTATACAACCCTAACGGGGACAGGTCGGCCCGACCTGGGACCCGGCCTGACCTGGAACTCGGCCAGGCTCAGTACTGTGTAGGTCCGACCCGATCCGACGGTACCGGGCCTGGGGCCGTATGTATATTTGTTTACATAACTCACAGTTGATTGCTAGTTT